AGAATAAATATCTTTGGTGGGTTGTAATATTGCACACCGTACATTGGTTCTTAGTCGAAAGGGCTTTGGATTTGTGAGCTTAGGTTTTGTATACTTGACACGGGTACTAGCTGAAACAGTCTTTCCATTGAAACACTTATCTGCTACTGTCATCCCCTGGTTCATACAAATACATAAATACACAGAAGAGGATAGTAGAATCCGAGTAGAAAGTATTCGAAAGAAACTTAGCTACCTTTTCAGTGGTTTTGAAAGCTTCTTTCTTGCCAAAGATTTTCTTTTTGATTGAAGGGTCAGTGTTATGCTCGACTTTCCTGCGAGATTCAGACAAAACAAAGTATATCTGTGAGGTATTTGCTCAATGGAATCCAAAGTAAAGCAAATTAACAACATTTTCCGCACCTGTTATTGTCCAAGGCTATAGAATTTTCCTTATCATCGCTTTCTCTATCGATATCCGCTGCATCAGTAACATTTTCTTTGTCGTCACACTCCAGTGGTAATGCATTTTCCTTGTCTTCAATCTCTGTAGTCTCATCTAGCTTGGCTTTATCCACTTTTCTTTCATTTATTACCGCAGGATCTTCTCTATCAACATCCACTGCACTAGTAGCATTTTCTTTGTCCTTACACTCCGAAGGTAACACATTTTCTTTTTCTTCAATCTCTACAATTTGATATTCCTTTGATTTATTCAGTCCACTCTCATCTATTACAGCAAACTCTTCTCTGGTTTGGAGTTGATCATCCATATCAGTCTTCAATGTGTCTGACAATTCATCATCTGTACTAGTTTTTTCACTCCTTGACAAACTATTTGACTGATTCTCGAGTGTTATGCCATGAGCTTTAGAAGAATCAAATGAAAGCACAAGCTCTTCTTTTTCCTTGACCTTCTGCTTCAAAGTACCAAGACCTTTGGATGTGTCACCGATCTGTTTCTGTGACCGCAAAGAATCAAACACTCGGCTCTTCACCTCACGTCCCTTTAATGGTTTCCTAGATGGAACCGCAGTTCCAACCTTGTGATCAAACCCCAAAACGTTTCTTTTGTTTTCAATCTCAAGTTTCCTCATGCTGTTACATATCTTCTTCACCGAGGAACTAAGCTCCACAGATCTCTTCAGTTTCACCAACTTCTTAGGAGATTGAAACACCAAAGCCTTTGCAACAGCTCTGTTTTTCGACGCTCTAACTGTTGCGGTTCTCGGATTCTGCACACTCCGAAAAGCTGCTGATGGACTCCGCATTTGCTTCTTCCGCTCGGTAAGTGCCTTCTGAGGAACCGATGACACTACCAATGACTCTTTTCCTTTCACCTTTGTCTTTGGAGTTGCATTCTTGTTTGCTGATGAGATTGCTTTTGCTTCTTTTGACTTGATATTACCATTAGTAACCTTCTGAGGAATTGATGAGATCATAGCCAATCTAGAAATGCGTGATCTCGAGGGCTTTGCAGGCACCGTGTTTGGACATTTAAGCTCTACACTGTAATATAGAACAATGTAATGTTAAAACACACACACATTACACTGATGAGATGTACAAAAAAAACACATTTTTTATAGTTTGAATATATATCATTACCTTGTTGAATCCTTTCTATAAAGAGCTTTTCGAAGACGAACACTTGGACTCCTCGCTGCCATAACCTAGCAAGGTTCTAAAATTGATGAGTTCTTTAAGAAAACGGAATCAAATTAAGGAAGAGAGTTCAGAAAAAGTTTGAATCTTTCAGCTAACCCGAAGAACAAAATTTTTGTAGATTGCTTCTGAATCCATGAATTCTTCATGCTTTTGATCACATCCTAAGTACACATTATCACCAAGAAACCAAAAAAAGATCAAAACACAAACTAATTTCACAAAAACCCTAACTTAAGCAATTTTTCAAATCGATCTTTCCTAAGATCTCTGGAACATTGAAAGTATTACTAATGATTGATTTAAATTTCAAAAAAAAAAAAAGTTAAATGTAAGAGAGTGAATAAGATTCTGACCAACTCTGGAACAGAACCAGTAACGATCATCTCCTTCTGGTCGGTGATCTGGTGCGGTGAGGTCTACAAACTTTGGTGCTTCTATCGTCTCGTAGAAGTCCTCTTCGTTGAACTCATCCACTATCATATGCTCGAATTCCTCCATTAACACTAAAACTACCAGAAATTACAGATTCACC